ACGGCGGGGAGGTGCAGCGATCGGGCTGGCGAGGGAATTGAAAATGAATTCGGGCTATCTCGAGTCTTTATCGGGAGCACGGGACTTAACGTCCGGTTTACACGGCCGAGAGGTTTACACGTCGTCGAGACAGCTTGCTTAGCTATTTCGATTAGCCGTTTGAATAAGGGTAAACGAGTGGTTCTCGTTACCTCCTTCGACGGGACGGCGATAGCAGAGGTGAGCGACCAGGTTGTTGCGCACGACTCGCGCTTTGCGACTACCACTACGTTCGTGTACTTGCGGCGTTAACTGTCTTCCCACCCACGACATCCTGCGTGTAATACGTAGTATAACTGTCGCGAACGTAAACCACTGTTAACTACGAAGCTCATAAACGGGACATTATCGCGTGCGATATTTCGTTTCGTTAGCGTTAAGAAGATCACTTTGGTAAACGCATTGAGCATAATCAGAAATACAAAAGTCTTTTGTCATTTCTTTTTCAATTATCTCATCCGTTTACACGTTGCGCCAAGATGACGTTCAGAAGTTCCGCTTGGAATACGAATGTAGATTTCAAGTGGAAAAAGAAAAAGGAGACAAGTTTGTTTAACTAAATAAAGTCGATTTCTTCAAAGGACAGACGGCATCTTCTTGAACCGACGAGACCTGTCGTCGGTTACGCCACTGAAATCAGTTGCTCGTCAAGGCCGGCGAGCGTTGTACAGCGAGCTTTGAATAGTGTTTCGCAAGAACGACCCAAATAACGAACTTGACGCCGACGCATGGCACCCACCTTTTCTCAAATGCCCAGTGAAAGGTGTTCCCGCGAATCTCGAGGACGCTCAAGCGTATATTATTCTCCTTTTCTCGCGTTAAATCGAGACCACATTGACATTATCATTCGCGCAATTATCGTTCACATGGTGGAAATCAGACCGAGAAAGTAAACTTTCAAGGAAAATTCTTTTAAACGACATTAATCACTTTCAAAGCAAAGAGGAAATAACGTCAGTCGCGTTCTTATCGAGTTAAATCTCTACTTTCTTGATCGTTTATAACGTTTATAACGTTAATACGTTTTATTACGCAACAAAAGTCCCCCTCCCCCCCCCCCTCGTAATTGCAGTAATTCGATGAATATCGTATGCATTTTGAACTTTGCACATAACAGAATATATATGAAGATAAAGAATGAAAACGTTATCAGTTAACTTAACAAATATTTACGCTTGTCTGTACTTGATATACGGAATGCAACATGTAACTATTAATTAAAGGACAGCAGGCAGTACCGGAAGCGAATTTATCTCTGTGTCTCTCTCTCTCTCTCTCTCTGCGAGAGATAATTCCGGACTGGAAATAATTTTAACTTGTAGTCGCAAAGTGTTGGAGCAAAGTGCTCGCGAACTATGCGCGAATTATGTGGATTTCTGTTCCACGACGCGGATCCGTTAACGGGAAGGAAAAGGGGAGAGGCGGGGAGGATACAGCGGGCGTTGTCGGATACAATGAGAGCCTATCGCGAGAGATGACGGCGGATGGAAATCGGGACGTCGAGATATACCGCAAGGAGATCGCAAGGATCATAGCGGCGATCCTACACGCCTAGATTCGATCGCGGCGCGGCGGTCAGCGGCTCTACGCGCTGCAAATAATTACAGCCGTCCTTACATTCCATAGCAAGGCGGGCAAACTGGTTCCGAGCGCGGCCACTTGTGCTAGAATACGGAGAGACTCGTGTGTCGGAGAGGAAACCATATTTCTTTAAAGTAACATACGCGCCTTTTTCAGCCTCTTTACGCGTCGTCCTGCGTGTACGCAACTTCGCGGCGACGATCGCGATTTGTATCTCAGCAATGCGGGAGCTTCAATAATAAATAATAATGCACGACACATAAAGAATACTATTCACGTACCAAGTATATGATGTATGTTTTATCGTTGGACGTTAAAGAATAATCAATGATCGATATGTATGTATGACATGGGATATAAATAAATTTGACATTTTCGGTCAATGGGCGGACCAATCTAACATTGATTCGAGAGCTGTAAACATTGCCATTGTATCTATTGTAGAACCATTTACTAGTAGATTAATATTTTCTTTCAGGACTTAAAGATAGAAGCTTTTTCATTTTTAAACGTGGCAATTTACCTATTGAAAACTGGGACAACCGGGTACTATATTTATTAATAATCGCCAATGTGTCCTTTCGGAAGCAGATTACGAAGTTGAAATATAACGCAAGTGTATTTAATTTGAAATTAGTCAAAGAAAGATGCATCGAGCTTAATTCAGGCTATTAATCATTCCGAGTCTTCGAATTGTCGATATTAAGCTCTGTAGCAAGTTTCGTCAGGAGAACATCGACCCCGCGATAATCAGTTTCACGTTCTTTCGAAAGGAGAAAAATCTGAGTAAAAAGAGACGTCCCGTTTTAAAGTGAGATTCGTCAGTAAGATTCGAATTTGCGGAATTGTGTGCGAATCGCGCACACGGCGCTTAAATGCTCTCGCACGCGCGCGAGATATTCCCGGTGTTTACACTTGGTCGCGAAAAGATTTCGCAAACAACAGAAACATACATCGTCTCCGCGCAGGTACGGGCCGTGGTGCGGTGACGGTCGTAGGCGCATTAATAATGTAAGTGTGCAGATGGTGTGCAGTGAGTGCGCGGCGCCGCTGACTAGGATCAATGTTCCGTTCGCGGTCTATATAGCCGGCACACGGCCGCGCGCTACGATATATAGGTAACAACAAAGAGGGAGAGAGAGAGAGAGAGAGAAGAGAGAAAGCCGGGGCTGTGTGGGAAACAACACGGTTGCACACACCCCGCTCGCTCACTCGCTCGCTCTCCCCCCCCCTCTCTCCCTTCCCCTTCCTCCGCACACGCTCGGATAATGCATTTGCGCGAATATTTTAACCAATCGTAGCGCGAAATTACCATATGGAAATAAGTTCTCTTTCTCTGTCTCTCGTTCTCTCAATCGATCTGAATTTCGCCGCAACTCGGTTCGCGGGGGAAAAAAAAAAAAAAAAAAAAAAAAACGACTCCTCCAACTTGCGCCACCAAAGGAAAGAGATTCCCCTTCTCCGTATTCAAGAGAACACGTGCTCCTCGAGTTCTCGCTTTTAAGCTCGCCTGCTTATGGAACTGTACTTATATTATTTCGGCAGATCGCTCAAGAAAAACCCATCTCAAAAATTCTACAATTCGAAGATCTACTCTCTCATGTGTCAAGTTGTAAAGATACATCGTGAATTGTAATAAAGAAGAAAAAAAAGTGTTATGGTGCCCTGATCTCATATTATGACTACGTATCGGCGAAATGCACAATTAGTCTGTTTTTTGTAACTATTTTCTCATTTTTCAAGCGTCTTTTCGTTTTAGACACAACAATTAATGTCGTCACATCATTAATGAGAAATTCTCACTATTTCTCATTCAAGTACCGTGGCAAGCGATATTAATGTGAATATAAATTTATCATCACCCATATATATCTTGTACATATATCTTCTCCGTTTATAGAACCCCTCTTTATGAAATATATATACGACACTGTTTATAATTTTCACGTTACGACGCGTGCCAAATTATAATGCTGTAATAGAATTTTTTCCTTCAAATGCATTCCCCGGTTGAGAAATTGAGAAATCTCCGAAATGGGCTTCGACGATAATCGCTGCCAGAATTAAGATATCAAGGCGTATATTGTGAAGATAAGTAGTAACATATTTTATAAATTTATTCACATGATTTAAATAAATCAAAAGTATACAGTTAAGTCTCACGTCACACGCGCAAAACGCTCGCATGGCTTGCTTCTCGCCGGATCGCGCGGGCGCATGTCTCACGCTTTTGTTTCTCTCACTCTTTCGATTCTTACCTTCTCTTTTACGCGGCGAACTGTATCTTACACGAGGCGCGGCGATAAAGAGTGTATACCCGATATACATATTTACATATCGTACAATCATCTTACCTCTTCCCTCTCTCTCTCTCTCTCTCTCTCTCTCTCTCTCTCATTTACTCTCTCACTCACTCACTCACTCACTCACTCATACTACCTCTTTCTTGTTGTTCTTTCTCCCCTGCGGACATATAAAATTACAAAAAATCATCTACCTAGTCTCGAAAGTTTCAGAGTCAAAGCTAGCATCATGATTCTATTATGCGGCGAGGACGTTGAAATGCGACATGTGTCAGTTACATGTATGTATATGTACAATGTACATACGTACACGAACGCAAATTGCGTAGTAGAGAACGTTATTTACACGGATTCGTCGTAAATAGGAGGTATTTACACGAGGGTGAAATCGCCGCCACGAAAGAGACGGCCTGACAATCCGCGCGTGATCGCACGGACTTTGAGATCTTTGGGTGCTAAAAAGCATCTGAGGTAAACGGGATTCGCAGAGGTGCACAGAGAGTCTCAGAACCTTTGATTTTAATAACAGTTGAGTCTTATATGAATTTCGAGTCAAGATTATTTAAGGAAATTACAAGCTAATTTTGATATTCAATCTTTAATAGAGCTCATCTGAAGAAAGTTTTCTTGAATTAAAAAAAAAAAAAGAGAACATAAAAAAGTATAGTTCTTGAAGTTAAATACTGAAAAACAAATTAAATATTTTTGTATTTTGCGCTTTTGGAGCTTAATTCCCGCGTTCAGAACTCGCAAATAGTAATTACAAAAATGCAAATAAAAAATTATTGCAAAGTTTTGTTCATACATTTTTATAAAAAAAAAAAGTCAATTCTATGTAGAAACGGGATTCGGAGACACTCTGTATACCTGAACAAAATATTCGTACAAAACGCTGTTATGAAATTCGTATTTATATCAAGAATGGGGAATGTGCAATCCTGACAATAAGGGAATAGATCGAAAGCTTATTACATTAAGCATACAGAGTAAAGGAAGATGCAGAGTCAAGAATAAATATAACAAAAATAGAGAAGAAAAAGAGATAAAAACAAGAAGTAAAGAAATGTCAATGTTCCAACAACATAAAAAAATGAAAATTTTCATTGAGCAAAAAAGAAAACCGGCGCAATCATTATCGCGATAGGCATCCCCAAAGTCTCTAGAGATAATTATGATATGCGAATACACCGTCCTTCGTCCTTCGCGACGATGTCCCTGAACTATGTACACATATTTCGTAGGGATTCGTGACTCGGCACGCGCGCAACGTTTTCGAAAATTCACAATCTGTCGACCGTGCGTCACGTGGACAAGACTCGGCACAACCTTTTCAGAACGACTACCGTCGCTCATCGTTATTGTAGTCGGATCGACAGTACGATAGTCCCACGAGTCCCACACGGGGATACCGGGATCGGTCGCAGGGAGCTAAACCAGGTAGGCCTGTCCAGAGGTGGGTGGGGGCGGTGGTGGCGGTGGTTGCTGCTGCCTCCAGGCGGTCCTCTCAAGGGTGGAGTAGTCCGAGTCGATGGACGAGTAGATGTGCTCGGACAGCGGTCTCCTGTGGTCCTCGCTAACGCCGCAGTTGGCGGTGTTGGTGGTGGCGACAGTGGTCGTGATGAGATTACTAGCTGGCATCGCGTCCCGGTAGGCGTGATTGACGGTTAACCTGGGTTGCGCCGGCGACGACGACGGTGGTGGTAGCTGCGGCTGCTGTTGTTGCTGTGCCAGCATGGGGGGAAGCGGGGCACCGCCGCACGAATAAGCGGGCGGCGCGTGTTGCAGCATCAACGCCGACGAGGCGTCCTTGAAGAGCGCAGCGCGTTGACCGCCGCGCAGCGTCGACATCCCGGTTTTCTCGAGACTACCGACACCACCGTCCAGTGTGTAGGTGTTGATGTTGCGTTTGTACACCAACGGCGAGGATTTGCTCTCGACGGACACATCGCCGACGGCTGTAGTGGTGGTGGTGGTACTGGTAGCGATGATTGCAGTTGTCGTGGACGACGGTATAGCGTACCTTAATCGTTCCCAGAACCTCTTCTCGCCCCATGTAAGTATGAGCGCGGCCGTTCTCAAATAGGGCCGCAGCTCGGGATCGCGCTCAACCTCGGTACTGATATTGCCAGCTTGGATGACGATCAGCTGGGAGGCACGACCGCGCAATGCTTCGTGCAACGCTGCGCGAAACTCGAAACGCGACCATTCCGTTTGAAGGAAATCACGAGTAAGCACGATTAGCACGCGTCGAGATGCGTCCACCGCCTCGAGGACGGCTGGTGCGGGTGCGGAAGCGCGCAGCACGCAAGGCAAATCCCGGTGATGGAGACAGAGTCTCAGACCAGCCGCACCGTGTTCCAGTTCGACTGCCAGCGAGTGCAAGACAAAGTCCTCGTCGTTCGGACTGTAACACACGTAACAATCGTAGAGGCGATCGCGATCGGCGTCACAGCAGCCTGTAGCCATCGCCGCTGCAGGACCCATGCTCGCCGTCGTCACGGCTTTGCCCGGTTTCGTGCGCAAGAATCTCAGTCCGTACTTGGAATAGGCCCAGGCGCCGACCGGTTCGCGGAACACGAAAGCGAGTACTATAATCACCAGCAGAACAATGATGGCTGAGAGAGTGGCAGCTACCAACGGTAAATAGTCCGATACCATGATACTCTCAATCACGCCACCTTGAGCGAAATAATCCGAACAGGCGGTCTCGTTGACATTCAAACGGCGTCGATAAGATGGTCTGGCGTCGCCGCCGTAATAACACCATACGTCGCCAGCGTCAATGACTTTGTGCGCATTGTCTGACACCCAAGAAGACAGCTCCTGCAGGAATTTGCAGCGGCACGACCATGGGTTGCCGCCTAGCGATAGCTCGACCAATCGAGCGTTCAAAGTGACTTGCCACACTGGAAAGGTTACCAACCGATTGCCGTGCAATCTGAGAATCTCAAGCGATCGCAAAGGCAAGAACGTAAGGTTGCCAATGAAGCCAATCATATTGTTCTGTAGATAAAGCTCGCGCAAGTGCGATAATCGCTCGAACTCGAAGCCCTTGAGTTCGCGTATGCGATTGTCTTCAAGATGTAGAATTTGCAGGTTGTTGAGGCCGTTGAAGGTGCGATTCTGGATGGATTCAATGCCACTGGCGTTTACGTATAACACGCGCATGTTCTTACGGCCAATGAACACGTGATTCTGCAACTCTCGTAACACGTTGCCGTCCAGATAGACTTCGGTGGCATCCATTGGTATCCTACGCGGGATTTCTTCGACTCCAAGACCTGAGCAATCGACCGCGTTCGTATTCCATGTACGGTCATTGTAACACTTGCAACCTGCTGGACAGGTCATCTCGCAATCACAGGCATCAAAATCACAACAATGACAGAGGGCAAAACAATGCGCCTCGTAGCGGCAGAGGAACTGTTCCGAGCGTGCAGTCGAGGCTGGGACGATGGCGACTCCCCGCGGCCCAGAGGTACGGCACATGGCATTGTCAAGATCCATGACACGCGGATATTCCCTTGTCGAGGTTTGGTTATTGATGGCCGGCAACCAGTCCATCGAGCAATTGCAGTTGAAGGGATTGCCACCGATGTAAAACTCCGGCAGTGGTTTATTCTCCGGTACTTTGGTCAGCAGTAGCGATGTTAACTCCATCGTCTCGATCATGTTCGCGTACATATCAACCCGAGTGAGATTCACTTTGTCGGCGAATGTGTTTGGTCGTACGATGCTGATGTAATTGTTGTTGATGAATAATAGCTCCACGCTATCGGGCACAGACAACGGCGAGAGTTCGGTGATACGATTGTGACTAGCGTCCAAAGTCTTCACTTTGGAATTGCGAATTTTATAATAATTGCCAAGACTTTCGATAAAATTGCCGTGAATATCGAGCCACTTAAGATTAACAGGTATGAAGGCGTAATCGAACCACTCTATGTGATTTTCCGATAAATTCAGTAACAGAAGGCTAGTGATGCTGGTGAATACACCGTTGATTTCCGACAGAAAGTTGCCATCCAAGCGGATGGCTTCCAATCTGACATTACGTTCGAACGCGTGCCTTTCCACGTGTTGTACTTTGTTCCGAGCCAGATTGAGGATTTGGAGATTCGGCAAGTCCCAGAGCATACCGTGAGTCAGATTACCGATGTCGTTGCCGATTAGACGTAGACCGGTGAGTTGATGAAGGTTACGGAAGGAACCGTTGTGAAACTCGCTGATCCGGTTCTCGCCCAGGTCAAGGGTCTTGAGGAAAGCGAGGTCGCGTAATGCGTCCGGCACTGCAGTAAGCTCGTTACCGCTGAGATCCAGTTCCTTGAGATCGGAACAATTGCGAAACGCCATCGTGTCGATGTTCGAAATCGAATTCCCGGACATGGTCAGGCGATTTAGTACAAACAGACCGTTAAAGAGCTGTGCTCCTACAGTATGGAGCTTGTTGTCGGAGAGTTCGAGTGTATGCAGATTGTAGAGCGGCAAAAAAGCGTTACTTTCGATACGGTCAATCGAGTTATTGCGTAGATCGAGGATCTGTAGAAAGAACAAGTCCTTAAACATGCGGGCATCGATATGTGTCAGCTGATTGTATGAGAGATCAAGCACAATCAGGCGAATCAAACCGAGGAAAGTAGTCTCGTCGACACGATCGCTGCCAAGGCGGTTGTTGGCGAGATTCAGCACCAGCAGCTGCTCCAGCTGGGTGAACACGCCCCGTGGCAAATCACGTAGGCCGTTGTGCGCCAGGTGTATCTCCCGTAGGTCGCGCGTAGTTTTGAATAAATCCTCGGGCAACGAATCCAGGGAGTTGTGGCTGACGTTAAATGTGCGCAGAACAGTGAGTCCATGTAAGGCATTTTTGCCGATCTCGGTGATCGCATTGCGCTGCAGATGTAGCTCTTGCAGTTGCCGCAGGCTCACCAGCGGTCCGTCATCGAACAGTTGCCGTAATTCATTGCGTGATAGATCCAGAATCCTGATATCGGCGCGGCAGGATGATCCACCGTTGATCTCAGCGCGCACCGTTAGACCGATATCATCGATGTCGCGGATACGATTGCCGGTGAGATTGAGAGTCTGCAAATTGTCGAGCTCGCAAAGCAGTTTAGGTGGCAGCGCCTGTACGTTGCTCTCGACGATCTCCAGAGTATGAAGCTCGCGGAGGCCTCGGAGCGAACTCGGCGCGAACTCCAGGTATCTGGCAGCACCCCAAGCGGCATTGAACGTCTGTACGACGAGCCGCTTAAGATCCGGTAATGGTAAAAACGCATCCTCTGGGATACGTAACACCTTGCAGCCGTGCACGTGCAGTTCATGCAGACCGGCCAGCCGCTGCCAACTTTGCGCGTTCAAGCTGCTCTCAAAGTGGTGCACGTCGCTGCAGCGAATCCGTAGTTTAAGCGCGCCATCAAGGGACGGCGCCAGGGTGACGATCGCCGTAGGATCTAGCACGCGAAGGGCGCAATCCGCTGAACGGGTGTCGTTGCCAGCCTCGTTGGTCCACCGGCAGGCGGCCGCGGCGGGACCAGGATGCGTCGATACCAGCAACAACAGCAATAGTGTTGTCGCGAACAGACGATTGAATGGGGCGGCTGCATTCACCGTGCTCGCTGTTGATGTCGACGTCGATGACAATGTAGTTGAGGATACTGCCGATGATGTTGCCCACGATGATGTTGTCCACGATGACGTTGTCCACGGTGATGATGTCCACGATGATGGTGTCCACAGTGGTGCTGTCCACAATGATGTCGTCAACGACGTCGTCAACGACATCGTCGTCGCCGCCGTTGCCGTCGTCACAACGACATCACTCTTCACCGTCGTCATATCACGTCGCATTTCTACGAAGGGCAACCTATCCCTTTTGCTCTCGACGTCCACGTCGAGTCGCGCGTCGGGGCAGCGGCGGCGGCGGCGGCGGCGGCGGCGGCGGTGGCGGTG